AAGGTTCCTGACGCTGAGGACAAGGTTCCTGACGCTGAGGACAAGGTTCCTGACGCTGAGGACAAGTTTCCTGACGCTGAGGACAAGGTTCCTGACGCTGAGGACCAGATTCCTGACGCTGAGGACAAGGTTCCTCACGCTGAGGACAAGGTCGCTGACGCTGAGGACAAGGTTCCTGACGCTGAGGACAAGGTTCCTGACGCTGAGGACAAGGTTCCTGACGCTGATGACAAGGTTTCTGACGCTGAGGACAAGGTTCCTGACGCTGAGGACAAGGTTCTTGACGCTTAGGACAAGGTTCCTGACGCTGAGGACAAGGTTCCTGACGCTGAGGAGAAGGTTCCTGACGCTGAGGACAAGGTTCCTGACGCTGAGGACAAGGTTCCTGACGCTGAGGACAAGGTTCCTGACGCTGAGGACAAGGTTTGTGACGCTAAGGACAAGGTTCCTGACGCTGAGGACAAGGTTCCTGACGTGGAGGACAAGGTTCCTGACGCTGAGGACAAGGTTCCTGACGCGGAGGACAAGGTTCCTGACGCGGAGGACAAGGTTCCTGACGCTGAGGACAAGGTTCCTGACGCTGAGGACAAGGTTGCTGACGCTGAGGACAAGGTTTCTGACGCTGAGGGTAAGGTTCCTGACGCTTACGACAAGGTTCCTGACGCTGAGGACAAGGTTACTGACGCTGAGGACAAGGTTCCTAATGCCGAGGACAAGGTTCCTGACGCTGAGGACAAGGTTCCTGACGCTGAGGACAAGGTTCTTGACGCTTAGGACAAGGTTCCTGACGCTGAGGACAAGGTTCCTGACGCTGAGAAGAAGGTTCCTGACGCTGAGGACAAGGTTCCTAACGCTGAGGACAAGGTTCCTGACGCTGAGGACAAGGTTCCTGACGCTGAGGACAAGGTTCCTGACGCTGAGGACAAGGTTTGTTACGCTGAGAACAAGGTTCCTGACGCTGAGGACAAGGTTCCTGACGTGGAGGACAAGGTTCCTGACGCTGAGGACAAGGTTCCTGACGCGAAGGACAAGGTTCCTGACGCGGACGACAAGGTTCCTGACGCTGAGGACAAGGTTCCTGACGCTGAGAACAAGGTTTGTGACGCTGAGGACAAGGTTTCTGACGCTGAGGACAAGGTTCCTGACGTGGAGGACAAGGTTCCTGACGCTGAGGACAAGGTTCCTGACGCGGAGGACAAGGTTCCTGACGCGGAGGACAAGGTTCCTGACGCTGAGGACAAGGTTCCTGACGCGGAGGACAAGGTTGCTGACGCTGAGGACAAGGTTTCTGACGCTGAGGGTAAGGTTCCTGACGCTTACGACAAGGTTCCTGACGCTGAGGACAAGGTTACTGACGCTGAGGACAAGGTTCCTGACTCGGGGGACAAGGTTCCGGACGCTGAGGATAAAAATCCTAACGCTGAGGATAAGGTTCTTGACGCTGAGGACAAGGTTACTGACGGTGAAGACAAGGTTCCTTACGCTGAGGACAAGGTTCCTGACGCGGAGGACAAGGTTGCTGACGCTGAGGACAAGGTTTCGGACGCTGAGGACAAGGTTTCGGACGCTGAGGGTAAGGTTCCTGACGCTTACGACAAGGTTCCTGACGCTGAGGACAAGGTTACTGACGCTGAGGACAAGGTGCCTGACGCGGAGGATAAGGTTCCTGACGCTGAGGGCAAGGTTACTGACGCTGAGGACAAGGTCCCTGACGCGGAGGACAAGGTTCCTGGCGCTGTGGACAAGGTTACTGATGCTGAGGACAAGGTTCCTGACTCGGAGGACAAGGTTCCGGACGCTGAGGATAAGGATCCTGACGCTGAGGATAAGGTTCTTGACGCTGAGGACAAGGTTACTGACGGTGAGGACAAGGTTCCTGACGCTGAGGACAAGGTTCCTGACGCGGAGGACAAGGTTGCTTACTCTTAGGACAAGGTTTCTGACGCTGAGGGTAAGGTTCCTGACGCTTACGACAAGGTTCCTGACGCTGAGGACAAGGTTACTGACGCTGAGGACAAGGTGCCTGACGCGGAGGATAAGGTTCTTGACGCTGAGGGCAAGGTTACTGACGCTGAGGACAAGGTCCCTGACGCGGAAGATAAGGTTCCTGGCGCTGTGGACAAGGTTACTGATGCTGAGGACAAGGTTCCTGACTCGGAGGACAAGGTTCCCGACGCTGAGGATAAGGATCCTGACGCTGAGGATAAAGTTCTTGACGCTGAGGACAAGGTTACTGACGGTGAGGACAAGGTTCCTGACGCTGAGGACAAGGTTAGTGACGCTGATGACAAGGTTCCTGACGCTGAGGACAAGGTCACTGAGGCTGAGGACAAGGTTCCTGACGCTGTGGACAAGGTTACTGATGCTGAGGACAAGGTTCCTGACGCTGAGGACAAGTTTCCTGACGCGGAGGACAAGGTTCCGGACGCTGAGGATAAGGATCCTGACGCTAAGGATAAGGTTCTTGACGCTGAGGACAAGGTTACTGACGGTGAGGACAAGGTTCCTGACGCTGAGGACAAGGTTAGTGACGCGAATGACAAGGTTCCTGACGCTGAGGACAAGGTTACTGACTCTGAGGACAAGGTTCCTGAGGCTGAGGACAAGGTTTCTGACGCTGAGCACATGGGTCCTGACGCTGAGGACAAGGGTCCTGACGCTGAGGACAAGGTTTCTGACGCTGAGGACAAGATTTCTCACACTGAGGACATGGTTCCTCACGCTGATGACACGCGCGAAGGTCTTCGTGCATTCTCGTCATTCAAACTTGTAAGTTATGATGTAGTTTTTAACTGAGAGTAGAGAAATGAGAGAACTTAAAGCGTAGATACTGTACCATGCATTAAACATAGTTTAGCAAACCTATTATTATTATTATATTATTTTATGAGAATCTAGTTTTCCGTGAAATTGCTTTTTTAAGACACGCGAATCGTGAAATGGCTTTTTTTTGTGAAACATGATCCATACCCACCCCCTTTCCCACTTGAAATGTGTGGTATATTAATTACACACGCTAGAGAAAAAAGCTAAGCGAATAAGTTGCAATGGGCTTCCATCTACGAACAAGTGATCTAGTGGTAAAGACTACATATTGTGTAATGTGCCACTTTGGTTCAAGTCCTACAAAAGGCATTTTCTGACTAGCTTGAAATGTGTAGAGTATTTATTACGCAAGCTAGAGAAAAAAGGCTAAGGTGAGTAATTAACTTGTGGTAGGGTTCTAACAAAAAAAGGTGAATAAGTTGCAGTAGGCTTCTAACAACAAGCAAGTGGTCTAGTGGTAAAGACTGTAGATTGTGTAATGTACCAGCTGTGGTTCAAGTCCTAGGAAAGTCATTTTGTGACTTTAAATGTTTCGAATATTAATGACACAAGCTGGAGAAAATGTTAAGATGGACAGGTTGCGGTAGTCTTCCAACAACGAGCAAGTGGTCTAGTGGTGAAGACAATTGGCTGTGTAATGTACTATTGCTGTTCAAGTCCTACAGAAGTTATTTTGTGACTTGAATTATGTCGATTATTATTTACAAAAGCTACAGAAGAAAGGTAAAGGTGAATAGGTTGCAGTAGGCTTCCAACAACGAGCAAGTGGTCTAGTGGTAAAGACAACAGGTTGTGTCATGTGCCAGTTGTGGTTCAAGTCTAACAGAAGCCGTTTTGTGTTTCAAAAGTTGTTGAGTTTTAATTATACAAGCTAGAGAAAACAATAAGGTGAATAAGTTGCTCTAGTCTTCCAACAACGAGCAAGTGGTCTAGTGTTAAAGACAACAGGCTTGAGTTATGTACCAGCTAAGGTTCAAGTCCTAAAGAAGTCATTTTGTGACTTGAAATCGCTCGATTCTTCCAGCGTAGCACCCGAAGACTTTGAGTAGTACCGCTAGACTAGTAAGTCTATTGGTGAAAGCTCAGTGTTTTCTATCATAGCTAATCTTTTTTCTCTACCCTACGTACCCCTGACAAAAACCAAAAAGTCCTTGTCAGGAAACAAACCAGACATCACCGACATGCGACACTAAGCCGAGACCACTAGACCATCGTGGCTGTTGCTTGTTAGCTGTTACTTTTGATTTTATTTAACCGTTTACTCTCTTAGGTGAGTGCAAAGTTGAAAGGTGTATCATGTCTCGCAATCAACAAGGCTCGCAATATTATCGTTGCAACAACCATTGCATAAAATAGACTCAGGCTCTACTTTTTCCCCACGATTGTGGCAACGCTGCGATCGTATTTCTTAACATTGCGAGACAAGTTGCTTAGTGCAAGAGCGAAACGAATGTTGATCTCAGCAGGGAACGAACCGGCTAGGTCTCCAAGCATACGACAACAGGTTGAGTTCACTACACCATCTTGGTTACTGGTTTTTCAATTGTTCAAAAAAAATAGAGGTGAAAAACCAACAGCCAAGATGGTGTAGTGGACTGGACCTGTTGTCCTATGCTTCGAACCCTAGGTTCGATCCCTGCTGTGATCAATATTCTTTCCGCTGTTGCACAAAGCAACTTGTCTCGCAATGTTGAGAAATACGATCGCAGCGTTGCCGCAAACGTGGGAAAAAGTAGAACCTGAGTCTACTTCATGCAATGGTTGTTGCAACGATAATATCGCGAGCCTTGTTGATTGCGAGACATGATACACTTTCAACTTTGCGCTCACCTAAGAGAGTAAAGGGTTAACTAAAACAAAAAGTAACAACTAACAAGCAACAGCCACGATGGTTTAGTGGTCTCGGCTTAGTGTCGCATGTCGGTGATGTCAGGTTCGTTTCCTGACAAGGAAATTTTGGTCTTTGTCAGGAGTAGAGAAAAAGGATTAGCTATGATAGAAAACGTTAAGCTCTCACCAATAGACCTAGTAGTCCACCGGTACCACTCAAAGCCTTCGGGTGCTAAAGTGGAAGGATCGAGCCCGGTTAAGACCGGCTGAGACTTCGTGCTCAGGTGATCGATCTGACCGGCCGTATGCGGAGTGAAACCAAAATTCGGGGGTTCTGTTTCCCCGAAAAAAATGAGAAATAACCCCAAAGTATCTTGCTCTAAGAGCAAGGCAAAAAGACTTAGTAAATACCTGCCTTCCCCGGCCCGGCCTCCCCCTTCTTCCTCCCCGCCTTCCCACCGCACGCTGACATATAGCCATGGAAAGTACTAAAGATTAATTTCATTGGTGGTATTCTCTCCTAACATTTGCCCAGCCGCCATTTCCTTTTGTATTCTTTTCCCATCTTGTTTTGTTCATTATTTTTTCATTCGTCCTCGAACCGATCCTGATACACGACATTGGCTTTTAAAGTCCGATATCGTTACCACTGTCCACTTGCTCGTTGTTGGAAGCCTACCGCAACTTATTCACCTTAACCTTCTTTCTCTAGCTTGTGTAATTAATATACGAGACATTTCAAGTCACAAAATGACTTCTTTAGGACTTCAACCTTAGCTGGTACATGAGACAAGCCTGTTGTCTTTACCCCTACACCACTTGCTCGTTGTTGGAAGCCTACCGTAAATTATTCACCTTAACATGTTTTCCCTGGCTTGTGTAATTAATATCGACACATTTCAAGTCACAAAACGACTTATGTAGGATTTGAAACACACCTGGTACATTACACGACATGCAGTATTTACCACTAAACCACTTGGTCGTTGTTGGAAACCTACGCAACTTATTCACCTAAACCTTTTTTCTCAAGCTTGTGTCTAAGTTTTCATGTCACAAAATGATTTCCGTACGATTTGAACCGCAGCTGCTCAATTACACAGCTTAAAGAATTTACCACTAGACTACTTGCTCGTTGTTAGAATCGTCTATAGCTTGTGTACACATTTAAAGCAAGTTATTCCAGGTGCATAATCGAAAAAGACGTGAAAGTTGATATTATGCGGTTTCGAACCTAATGTTCTATGGAATTTCAAGGCCCTTGTAGCAGAGACTTGAATTTGGGCCAGCCTGAAGGTTATATTTCTGGAATCTACGAGCCACAGGCTCTCTGTCGATGCCTCATTCGTCCATCACTAGGCCGGACGTGGAAATAAAAAGCAGTTTTTTCCAGCTGTGTCAGTAATCGAAAAAGACGTGAAACTTAATATTATGCGGTTGTGAACCTTTAGTTCTATCGAATTTCAAGGCCTCTGCAGCAGAAAATAGAATTTGGCACGGTCCAAAAATTCTATTTTTGGAATCTACAGTCCATAGGCTTTCTATGGTTGCCGTATTCGTGCTTCACAAGACAGTTCATGAAGATAAAGAGCAGGTTATTCCAGGCATATAATCGAAAAAGACGTGAAAGTTAATATTATGCGGTTTCGAACCTAATGTTCTATGGAATTTCAAGGCCCTTGTAGCAGAGACTTGAATTTGGGCTAACCTGAAGGTTGTATTTCTGCAATCTACGAGCCACAGGCTTTCTGTAGATGCCTCATTCTCCATCACTAGGCCGGACGTGGAGATAAAAAGCAGTTTTTTTTCATCTGAGTAATCGAAAAAGACGTGAAGCTTAATAACATGCTGTTTTCAACCTTTCGTTCTATTGAATTTCAAGGCCTCTGCAGCAGAAAATAGAATTTGGCACGGTCCAAAAATTCTATTTTTGGAATCTACAGTCCATAGGCTTTCTATCGTTGCCGTATTCGTGTTTCACAAGACAGTTCATGAAGATAAAGAGCAGGTTATTCCAGGCGTATAATCGAAAAAGACGTGAAAGTTAATATTATGCGGTTTCGAACCTGATGTTCTATGGAATTTCAAGGCCCTTGTAACAGAGACTTGAATTTGAGCTAACCTGAAGGTTGTATTTCTGCAATCTACGAGCCACAGGCTTTCTGCAGATGCCTCATTCGTCCATCACTAGCCCGGACGTGGAGATAAAAAGCAGTTTTTTTCCAGCTGTGTAATCGAAAAAGACGTGAAACTTAATAACATGCTGTTTTGAACCTTTCGTTCTATTGAATTTCAAGGCCTCTGCAGCAGAAACTAGAACTTGGCACGGTCTAAAAATTGTATTTTTGGAATCTACAGTCCAAGGCTTTCTATCGTTGCCGTATTCGTGTATCACTAGACAGTTCATGAAGATAAAGAGCAGGTTATTCCAGGCGTATAATCGAAAAAGACGTGAAAGTTAATATTATGCGGTTTCGAACCTGATGTTCTATGGAATTTCAAGGCCCTTGTAGCAGAGACTTGAATTTGGGCTAACCTGATGGTTGTATTTATGGAATCTACGAGCCACGGGCTTTTTATCAAGGCCTCATTCGTCCATCACTAGCCGGACGTGGAGATAAAAAGCGGTTTTTTTCCAGCTGTATAATCGAAAAAGACGTGAAACTTAATAACATGCTGTTTTGAACCTTTCGTTCTATTGAATTTCAAGGCCTCTGCAGCAGAAACTAGAATCTGGCACGGTCTAAAAATTGTATTTCTCGAATCTAGAGGCCATAATCTTTCTATCGTTGCCGTATTCGTGTATCACTAGGCAGTTCATGAAGATAAAGAGCAGGTTATTCCAGGCGTATAATCGAAAAATACGTGAAAGTTAATATTATGCGGTTTCGAACCTGATGTTCTATGGAATTTCAAGGCCCTTGTAGCAGAGACTTGAATATGGGCTAACCTGATGGTTCTATTTCTGGAATCTGCGAGCTACGGGCTTTCAATCGAGGCCTCATTCGTCCATCACTAGGCCGGACGGGGAGATAAAAAGCAGTTTTTTTCCAGCTGTGTAATCGAAAAAGACGTGAAAGTTAATAACATGCTGGTTTGAACCCTTCGTTCTATTGAATTTCAAGGCCTCTGCAACAGAAACTAAAATTTGGCACGGTCTGAAAATGGTATTTTTGGAATCTACATTCCATAGGCTTTCTATCGTTGCCGTATTCGTTTATCACTAGACAGTTCATGAAGATAAAGAGCAGGTTATTCCAGGCGTATAATCGAAAAATACGTGAAAGTTAATATTATGCGGTTTCGAACCTGATGTTCTATGGAATTTCAAGGCCCTTGTAGCAGAGACTTGAATATGGGCTAACCTGATGGTTCTATTTCTGGAATCTGCGAGCTACGGGCTTTCAATCGAGGCCTCATTCGTCCATCACTATGTCGGACGTGGAGATAAAAAGCAGTTTTTTTCCAGCTGTGTAATCGAAAAAGACGTGAAAGTTAATGACATGCTGTTTTGAACTTTTCGTTCTATTGAATTTCAAGGCCTCTGCAGCTTATTTGATTTTTCTCGGTCTGAAAATGGTATTTTTGGAATCTACATTCCATAGGCTTTCTATCTTTGCCGTATTCGTGTATCATTAGACAGTTTATCGAGATAAAAAGCAGGTTATTCCAGGTGCATAATCGAAAAAGACGTGAAAGTTAATATTATGCGGTATCGAACCGGATGTTCTATAGAATTTCAAGGCCCTTGTAGCAGAGACTTGAATTTGGGCTAGCCTGGATATTGTATTTTTGGAGTCTACGAGCCACACGCTTTCTGTCGATGCCTCATTTGTCCATCATGCTCTGGATCGGAGGTGGAGATAAAAGGAGTTTTTTCCAGCTGTGTAATCGAAAAAGATGTGAAAGTTAATGACATGCTGTTTTGAACGTTTCGTTCTATTGAATTTCAAGGCCTCTGCAGCGGAAACTAGAATTTGTCACGGTCTAAAAATTGTATTTTTGAAATCCACAGTCCACGAGCTTTCGATCGATGGCGTATTCGTGTATCACTAGACAGTTCGTAAAGATAAAAAGCAGTTTATTCCAGGCGCATAATTGAAAATGACCGGCGTGAAAGTTAATATTATGCTGTTTTGAACCTTTCGTTCTATCGAATTTCAAGGCCTCTGCAACAGAAACTATAATTTGTCACGGTCTGAAAATTGTATTTTTGGAATCTACGGTCCATAAGCTTTCTATTGACACTGTATTCGTGTACCACTAGACAATTCATGAAGATAAAATGCAGGTTATTCCAGGTGCATAATCGAAAAAGACGTGAAAGTTAATATTATGCGGTTTCGAACCTGATGTTCTATGGCATTTCAAGGCCCTTGTAGTAGAGACTAGAATTTGGGCTAGCCGGAAAGTTGTATTTCTGGAATCTACGAACCACAGGCTTTCTGTCAATGCCTCATGCGTTGATCACTAGGCCGGACGTGGAGATAAAGAGCAGTTTTTTCCAGCTGTGTAATCGAAAAAGACGTGAAAGTTAAAATTATATAAGTGAGGGTTAGGGTTTGGCTGTTTCGAACCTGAAGTTCTATTGAATTTCAAGTTTCCCGTAGCGGAAACGTAAATTTACGCCGGTCTGAAAATTGCATATTTGGACTATCTACGTTCCATAGTCTTTCTGTCGATGCCTTACTCGTGCATCAAAAGACAGTCCATGAAAATACAAACCAGGTTATTCCAGGTGCATAATCGAAAAAGACGTGAAAGTTAATAATATGCTGTTTTGAACCTTTCGTGCTATTGAATTTCAAGGCCTCTGCAGCAGAAACTAGAATTTGTCACGGTCTGAAAATTATATTTTTGGAATCTACTATCCATACAGTTCGTGTATCACTAGACAGTTCATGAAGATAAAAAGACAACCATCTGACGCACTTCGACTATCATACACCATATGTACCATCTTTACCGTGTGACAGCCCTTCCGTGTATAACCACCTTACACCATCATACACCATCTGACAACCATCTGACACACTTCGACCATCATGCACCATCTTCACCATCAGACATCACATGCCTGTATTGGACATTACTCGTTAGGCTGTACGTTTTTTTCTCCATTTTTTACTCCCTTTTTCCAAAATATAAAAGGGGCAGAATTATATGGGGTTAGCTTTTCCCCCTATTTTTTGCTCCTTTTGCAAATTGAAATGTTATATATTGTGTTATCTCATGGTTGTTTTCGGTGACGTTGGCTATTAACCTTTAGTTTATTATTGATGTTAATTTTTGGGAATATTAAATTGCTCCAGGAATCCAACCTGGATACCATTACTGGTTCCAAACAGGACAATTTTTTAAACTTTATCGTCATCGTGCATTAATATATTGAAAAATTACCATTATGTATCTGGGCCGCTTGTTCAAAAGCCGGTTAGTTTGAGCCCTGTAGGTTAACCTAAAATTCAGAGAAGACTTCCCAACAACTTGGGGGTACAAGTGCTCTTTGCCCTCATCGCAAAAACCAACTCCAAGCTCGCTGCAAGTGCCAAGTAGGTACACTGTCGAGCATTCCGAATGGATGAAAGCGCTCGCAGGGAACTTGCGATTCCACCTTGCAATAAATAGAGGCTTATCCGGGAATAACCATCGTCTTTAATACAATATACCTTTTGAAAAAACTTGGTTTGCACTCGACGTCAATTGATTGATGGAAAAGAGGCTTATCCGGGCATGGTCACGAGTCTAGAATCTCATTAGCAGTATTGTATAATTAGGGCGTGTTTTCATCCAACACGTGTCTTTGTTTTACAAGTCTCAAAGGATTGATTGCAAACCAACAATTGTTAATCTTTTACACTATATATGTACACATCTACATATAGGAAAACACAATACAGGGTGTCCCCCCCAAAAAACACGCCAAACTATTGAAATAACGTATTGTTAGAATTTGAATGCCTTAGCACTTAAGATGTAGAAGATGTGTAAAATATTGACAGGGTGCATATATTATAAATATTGACTTAACAAGTTAAAATATCTTTGTAAAGCGCACGATTTTGAATCGATGTTCTTGGAAATTAAAGCAGCTTCTTAAACAGTTTCTTTATGCATAAAATTTACTTGTCAAGCTTTTATGCACTTGTGAGTTCAGCAGAGTGTCAAGGCATTCAAATTCAATACGTTATTTCAATAGTTTGGGGGTTTTTTTGGCACCTGTAGATGCATTTTATATTCAATTTATTTATTTAGGAGTAATATTTAGTTATAATATACAAATGCATGCCTCTCTAACAGCTTCGATTTTATAACTATAGTCAATTAGATATAAGAAGCTTTAATGTTTGTGTCTTCTTCCGTGTCGTAACTCGTTTCTTCGGTCTTCTACAGGACACGCGAGACTCCTATAGCCCTGAATTCTGCATTCGATAAAAATCTAGCAAGTAAAGTAATTGAAATATTAGTGTAAAAATTTAAATTTAAATTTAAAGTCGGCTTATCAATTAGGGGCGGACCATTAGAAATCCCGGGAGGGGGAGGGGGGGTGTGAAAATTCCCCAAAAAAAATTCGTGAAAAGAAAAATGCCTGGAAAAAAAATATGTGCAGCCATTACGTCAGAGAAAAAAAATTCGTGCAAGCAAACAGCAAAGTATAAGTAGTCTTGAAAAAAAAATCGTGCAGAGGTTAAATGCATTAAAACAAATTCCTGCAGAGACAATGAGACTGAAAAAAAAATTCGTGCCGCAAAAATTTTATACCCCCCCTCCCGGGATTTCTAATGGTCCGCCCCTTAGAGAAGGGAACATTAGCTGGACCAAATATTTTGAGGCCATTTAGCTATCACAAGTCCACCTACCGTATTGCATATTCTGTACATATATAGTTTTGTACAGGAAATCATAAAATGAAAGATCTTTTAGAGCCAGAATTTTCTTGAACTTTTGAATTCTGCATTCGATGAGAATCTATATAAAGTTGAAAAGTATTAGGGTAGGATTTAAATATTCCGTGCGGGGACCCCAGCCTTAATCTTTAATTAGATAAGGAGACACTTGAGCAAAGATTTTAAAATTTTACTTCAAATCAAAGTTTTACTTACTTCAAATCCATCTTCAATATCGCAAACCTCTGGTTTTCTTCAGGTCTTGCACATTTTTGAACATCTGAATTCTGCATTAAATGAAAATCTAAAAAAAAACAACTTGAAAAGTGTTTAGTGTACGAATGATATAACTGGGGAGAACCCTGGCCTTACTAATCCTTAATGGGAACACCAGACCAAGGTTTTCGAGCATTTATTGACGTTCAACAAAATTAGCTATTCACAAGTTTTACTAAATTGAAGCATTTTCCATATTGTAAAACATCACATGTTTAAAATCTTCAACAAAACATGAAGGGAATAAACGTCTTTCAACTTGATCTTCATTGAAATTGTTCTTCAACTTCTGCATTCGATACGAATCTGAAAAAATAACAACTAGAAAAAGTGTTAGTGTAGGAATCAAAATATTCGGGGAACCCACCATTAATACTATAATTAGAGAAGAAAAGCAGAGACCAAAGTGTTCGAGCTTTTATTGATTTTCAACAACATATTTAGCTATTACAAGTTTAAGAAAATTTTTCCACATATCGCGTAAGCCTGTGGTTTTTGCGAGTCTTGAACAGGACATCATGAAATGAATATATGTCTTTCAAACCGATATCCGGAACATAGTTTTGAACTTCTCAATTCTGCATCTTAAAAGAACTAGAAAAAGTGTTTAGTTTAAGAATTTAAATTATTGGGGAACCATCCTTAATGCTAATCCTATTATTTAGAGAAGAAAACACGAGGCCACAATTTTAGAGTTTTTATTGATTTCCACCAAAAAAATTAGCTATTACAGGTTTTAAAAAATCGAAGCATTTTCCATATCGTAAACCTCAGGTTTCGATGGACTTGAACAGAACATCGTTAAGTGAATAAACTTTTATTCAACTTGATATCCATGAGATTTCCCTTGAACATCTGAATTCTGCATTCGGTAAAACCTAGAAAACAAACTACAAAAGTGTTTAGTGTAAAAAATTTAAACAGTTGAGGGACCCCAGCCCTACCCTAGCTTAATAATAATCGTATTAGGAAAAACAGAGACAAACGTTTTAGCTTTTATTGATTTTTTCAACAAATAATTTAGCTATTAGAAGTTTTACAAAATTGAGGCATCTTCCATATCATGAACCTCTGGTTTCGTTGAATTTTGAACAGAACACTCATGAACTGGATAGACGTCTTTAACCAACTTGATATCCATGAACAGTTTCTTGCACTTCTGAATTTTCCCTGCTGGATTCTGCATTGGGTGAAAATCTGAGAGAACTTGGAAAAAAATGTTAGTGTACTAATTGGAATAGTTGGGAGACCCAACCCTTAATATTAATTATATCAATTAGAAAAGAAAACAAGGAAACAAATGTTTGAGCTTTTTATTGATTTTCCACAAAAAATTAGCTATTACAAGTTTTACAAAATTGAAGCATCTTCCATATCATGAACCTCGGGTTTTGTTGAATCTTGAACAGAACATTCATTTCTTGCAATTCTGAATTCTGCATTGGGTGAAAATCTAGGATAACTTGGAAAAAAATGTTAGTGTACGAATTGGAATAGTTGGGGGACCCTTCCCTTAATATTAATCCTATCAATTCGAGAAGAAAACAAGGAGACAAATGTTTGAGCTTTTTATTGATTTTCAACAAAAAATTAGCTATTACAAGTTTTACAAAATTGAAGCATCTTCCATATCATGAACCTCTGGTTTTGTTGAATCTTGAACAGAACATTCATGAAGTGAATAAACGGTCTTTAATCAACTTGATACCCATGAAAATTTTCTTGAACTTCTGGATTTTGCATTGGGTGAAAATCTAGAACTTGGAAAAAATGTTAGTGTACTAATTTAAACAGTTGGGGGACCCCACCTTTAATATTAATCCTATCAATAGAGAAGAAAACCACAGACAAATGTTTGAGCTTTTTTATTGATTTTCAACACAAAATTTAGCTATTACAGGTTTTACAAAATTGAAGCATCTTCCATATCAAGAACCTCGGGGTTTCGTTAATTACGAAAGTCTAAAAAAGACTTGAAAGTGTTTAGCGTAAGAGTTTAAACAATTGGGGAAACCCACCTACAATACTAATTAGTCCTATCAATTAGAGAGAAAAACACGTGGTCACAACGATTTTCAGCTTTTACTGATGTTTAAAAAACATTTACTTATTAGTCTTATTACAAGTTTGACAAAATTCAAGTAATCTTCGATATCGTAAAATTCTCGTTTGTTCAGTTTTGAGCAGGACATCATGAATTGAAACGTCTTTCGAGTCAATATTCATGAAGATTTTTACAATTTCATTCAGCCAATAGCTACATGTATTTACAAGTTTTACAAAATGCATACAAGGTGATCTTCCGCATGTGTTTTATTCAACCTTGCATGAATCAAATATCTTTCAACTTGAATTCTGAATTTTGTGTTCGATGCATGTCTATAACGAAACTAGAGAAACGTTTAGATGAATTTAAATAGCGGGGAGGGGGCACTATCCTATCAATTAGAGAAGAGACGCTATAGACCAAAATTCTGAGCTTTTATTGATTTTAACAAAAAATTAGCTATTACAAATTGTAGAAAAATTTGGGTCATCTTCCATCTCGTAAAATTCCAGCTATTATTAATCTTGAATAGAATAACATGCATTCGAATGCCTTTCAACTTGATATTTGGAAGAGTAGAGATTTTCTTTAACTTCGGAATTCTGTATTCGATATAGGTCTATAAGAAAACTTGAGAAGTGTTTAGTTTAAGAATTTAAACTGGGGGAGGGGCACTATCTTGTCAATTAAAGAAGAAACACTATAGACCAAAATTTCTGAGCTTTTATTGATTTGAACAAATATTTAGCTATTACAAATTTAAAAAAAAGTTAGGTCGTCTTCCTAATAATAGAACATCATGTATTCGAATGCTTTTCATTCTTGATATTCGATAGAATCGAGATTCTTGAACTTCTTATTTTTTCATCCCATGAAAATCTATAAGAATATTTCTGAGAGTATTTAGTTTACGAAGTTACTTTTAGGGGGCCCCGAGGGACTTAATACCTCGTGAAGGAAGAGACATGTACACAACAGTTTTTGTTCTTTTATTTTGATTAAAAATCATTTACTTATTTACAAGTTATACTACAATATAACACTATAGTTGCCGCAGAACTACAGTTTATTATTTCATATATAGATCAGTGTTATGCGTTAAATGTGTTATACAGTATATGCACGTGATGTGTATTCCGAATTTTTTATCATAGAAATCAAGTTTGACAAATATGATGTCAAATTGTTATAAAATATATTTTGTATTTTTTGCTGGAATTAAATAATTTATTATATTTCTAGAATTTTTTAAAGAAATTATGTTTGACAAGTATGATGCCAAACACAAAGCTGCAGTTTATACTGCTTTTTTTATTGCTGTCAATTCTACCTTTTAAAGAAAAGTCAAGTTTGAAAAACGTGATGCCAAATTTTCAGGCATGCATGCAGTTTATGCTGTTTTCTTGTTGTTTTCTTGTTGCATGCAGTTTATGCTGTTTTCTTGTAGATTGTATTTTTTTAAAGAAATGAATTCGACAAATATGATGCCAAATTTACAAGCATAATTTTGTATGACATTACTAAGTTTTAAATCCTGAATTTTTTCTAAGAAATCAAATTTGACAAATATGATGCCAAATTTACAAGCATAATTTTGTATGACATTACTAAGTTTTAAATCCTGAATTTTTTCTAAAAAATCAAATTTGACAAATATGATGCCAAATTTACTAGCATAATTTTGCATACATTCTTAAGTTTTAAATCTGAATTTTTTTCTAAGAAATCAAATTTGACAAATATGATGCCAAATTTCTAAGTATACTGTAAGCATGCATGTCTATATATTTTATCACATCCTATAATATAATCTTTGATATATCCGGGGGCAACCCCTCCCCGCCCGCCTTTATCAACGCGTTTTGCCGCCTTAACCTGCATCGCGCACCGAATATCTCGAACTGTAGCTCGTTAGTATACATTTATAAGTAACAATTATTTCATAATTTACTTATTCACCTAATCATAAATATATTCCTATAGCCTAATCGTTATTATGGATGATATTTACAATATGGGGCATCCCCCCTTTATCAGCGCACCTTATCCTATCGCGCACCGAAAATTCCGAATTGTAACTCATATATACATGCAGATAACGACATGCACAATAATATAAACACACACACGTAATCATAATAAACACACAACACACTTATATAATTCCCTGGTGGTGCATGCATGCTTTTCAAAAAAATTTTCAAGAAAATATATCATGCATCGTGCAGTATTTATGCTAGGGGAATGATATTTCATTATGCAGTTTATCCATTATAAAATTTCATGGCCTCCCCCTGACAGTAAAGGTCTTTTCTCACGCATGCAGGGGGGGGGGGGCTGGGGTAGGGAGTCACTTCGCTTTACTGCCGGAGGGGCATTATACCTATATCTTCAGGTTTCCTAACACGTGCAACTAAACCAGGTTTCGTTGAAACATGCACAAAGTCCGAAATACGAAAATGTCGATAACTTTTTTTACCACCAGGGTTACACAGCTCTAACCTCGCGACGTCTTCGTTCTTCTGGATGAGATACCGGACTCATCCTTCCCTGCGGCGGCTGTAATAATAATCCATAATCCACAATGATGTTGTACGTTTAATAATCCACAATAATGTATAATATAATCCACAATGATGTATTATAATCCACATGATAATATAATCCACAATATGTAATAATCCAAGGTGTAATAATCCAGTTACCCAACAGCACATCCAAGATAACAAAAATAAAAGTCCTATTGCGGAAACGTGTTGGGGATCGATCCTGAGGGGTCAACTATGCGTTTTCACGCTTCAGTCCTAACCTAACTAGTTAACGAATTTATTTCACTCGTTATGTTGTGGCCTTAACTGGAATCCTAACAGAGCCTAGTTCTTGTGGTTCTAAACGTTTGTCAAGAAAGATGAGCAGGGCTCTCTCAACTCCTCTTGTAAACACGCTAATGCATGCACCGTGAAATACTTCATGCAACTCTCCTCAGTTTGGTAGAAGAAAATTTGTTACATTTATACAAGGTAGATATATTCTAGCTGCTTGATATATACCAACTCCTGGTCTATAGAATTTTCTCCAAATTTTATCCAACACCTCGAAATCACTAGTTGAATGAAATATTTCAGCATGCAAAAGCACGTCTACCTAAAGTCATGTGTCCTGATGACGACTATGCATGTAAAAAATTCGGGTAGTAAAATAAAAAGTGCAGAGTAAAAAAATTACTTGACCGCCCAGTGCGGGTTTACCACCTGATGTGGTAAGGGCCAGGTTGAGGCCTGGTGAACAGTGCGATCTAAAATAGAAAAAATAAGAATAATGAGTATTTAATCAAATTTTACATAGACGTCGGATGTGTAAAAAAATCCTGGTTTAGACTTAACGCGACATTGCTTCTCATCTTATAGTTTAATTGTAGAACAAACTTTCACATGCATTGCCATTGGCTTCACAATTTTGCAAAAATTCATTAAATTAGAACAGAAATCAAGTTCAATTTGAAGTCATTTTGATGCATGCACGGGATAGCAAGTTCTTTGACTTCGCTCATACGGGACTCATGTCGTATGGATCGGCAATTTTACTTAAAAAACTCGATTAAAATTGCAGACAAAGTATAGTCAAAAACGTTATATAAAACCTAGCAGAGACAATGTTTAATGGAAATAAGTTCGACAAAACATTATACCTGTTCAAGATCGACTTTAGAACAACAAAACCAGAAGACATAGAGCATCAAGAACTGCTGCGAATAAGTGCACATAGTCATAGCACTTTAGATTCATTTTAAATCCACCTAGCTGATGTGGTAAGGCCAGGTTGAATTAGCCTGATGAACAGCTAGTGCGATCTGAAATAGAAAAAAAGCAATTCAATCAAACTTTCAGTAAAGATGGATATATATAAAAATATTTTCTATGTAAAAAACTTTCTGGCTTAGACTTGACGCGACATTAATTGTTTCTTATATGCGACATTGCTTCTTACATGCAGTCGGCCCAGCCTTCGACTTAATTCGTCTTGAACGAGTTCGTCATAGGGGACGGCAAAATTTATATATATTCACAACAAATAGAGGTATTAAGTAAAGCGACAAAACACATATATACCTGTTTGAGATGGACTTTAGGACAGAACCAGGGAGACATAGAACATTAAGAACAGTTCAGAATAATTGCAGATATATAATATAGCCACTTTAGTTTCACTTTCAAATATATCCACCTGGTGTGGTATAAAGGGCCAGGTTCAGGCCTACATGATGAACAGTGCGATCTGAAATAGAAAAATAAGAATAATGAGTATTGAAATCAAGCTTTATATAGATACTGGATGTATGTAAAAATATTTTCAAAACTTTCCGCGACATTAGCCTATACTTCTTGTATAGTTTAATTCTACAACAAACTTTCACATTGGCAAGAACTAAGTTTTACTTAATCCTAGAAATTTTCTACTTTATCGAGAATATGTGAAATCGTACCGGCTTTAAGACGGAAGAACCATGCATACTAATTATCAGTCTGAACTACTGAAGATGCATGGTACTATACATGTACAACATTCAATACAAACAAAGAATATCACTCGAAATTCTAAACCATTTTACCAAGAATTAGTCTATAGGAACTCGAGTTAAAACCAATTAATTAGAACAGAAATCAAGTTAGATTTCAAGGTTATAGATTTAAAGCCATTTTGACACGGGCTAGCAAGTTCTTCGACTCAGGTAAAGCTATTTTTTTATTTCGCTCAAACGGGACTCGTGCCGTAATGGATGAATTTTTACTGAAAACTCGATAAAATCACAGACAAAGTATAGTCTGAAGTCTTTAAAACCTAGCAGAGGCAACGTTTATATACTGATAATGGCAAGTTCGATGATTTTTGGTTGAAGCTGAGAACATACAGTCGGCCTTCGACTTCGTCTTGAACGAGCTTGCCACATACCGGACGGCAAATTTTAATCATATATTCACAACAAATAGAGTCAAGTAAAGCGACAGAACAACTTTATACCTGTTTGATATCGACTTAGAACAGCACCAGAACTCCAGAAGACATCGGGACATCCAGAATTGCTGAGAATAAGTGCAGATAGTACTTCATAGTAAATTCATCCGAGTTAAAGTCTGATCCACTTCGCTTGCAACGACTCATTTGACAAAAGCGACTGAGTGAGCGATATTCCACCCAAAAAGCACGCGGTGGGCGTGTGGCTCAATCTGGTTTCCTATTGGCTAACATATGAAGCTCACGAATCATGATTGGTCGAGAATATACCAAGCTATCATTGGTCGAAATTATGCAAAGCTTATTGGTGCATTCTTTGTGCGTCCTTGGGGAATTGTCGTTTTCATTAAAACAATAGCTAAATAATGCATTAATTCAACTTTGAACTTAAATTTGAATAGGCAGTTGAAAGCAACGTGAAACATGCATCATAAAAGTCAACATGTTAAGTTGATAGAACGCATGAGAGCTTATATACAAGGAGTCCTTAAAAAAGCGCAAAACCATTGAAATAAAAATATTGTTAGAATTTGAATGCCCTAGCACTAAGCTGAAGGCAAAGATGCGTAAAATATTGACAAGGGTGCATATATTAAATATTGACTTATTAAGAAATTAAAATATCTTTGCCCACGATTTTCTGCTCTTGGGAATTTAAAACAGCTTCTTAAACGGTTTCTTTATGATAAAATTTACTTGCGTCAAGCCACACTGTGGTGAAGCTTTGCATGCACTTGTGGGTTAAGCAGAGTACTGAGGCATTCAAATTTTAACAATACGTTATTTCAATGGTTTTGCGGGGTTTTTTTGGGAACCCTGTACAGGTATAGTAAGTCTACATTCCCCTGGTACTTTATAAACAATTAATACATCTTATAACAAATTGGCCTTTGTTCCATAACAACCAGGTGATCTCGTGTTCGTATTTTAGCCAATCAGCGCTCAGAAAGGGTTGTCCGAATAGAAATCCATTTTGATGTATTCAGTCAATTATATCTTTCGTTATTCTTTATGAAACTAGTTGAAATTTTGTAATTATGTTTAGTTATGAGAACTATAGCTCTGACAAAAATATGGAATCGAAATAAAGTATATTACAGGAGATATTCAGTTGTTTTAATCATAAAATGGATTTCTATTTGATAACTAGTGCCAGTACTTTTCCGCGTATCAAGATCACCTGGAAATGCTAAATTCAAAACAATGAGTGATTGGATGGCATACATGGAGAACAGTGGGATTTTCCAAACAACAAAAGGACAGTGAAGGATCCCAATCACTGGATCGTGACTGCATGCCACTTATTCTTATATGCAAAGTGTTACAGCCATTGATCAAATTACAGGCAAAACATTTCTCTTTTATTTTTTTACACTGAGTTGCTAACGTGTTCATATATTTACAACAATAGTGAGTTTGGGAACTTACAGCACAACAGCAACGGCAGAAAACAATGTTACTTCCGTTTCTTGTATTTGAGCCAAAGCATACATTATTAAACTTTATTTGAGTGTTGAAAGAACTTATCTTTATTTCGGAACAACCCTTAAGCCATAGTTGGTGAAATCATACAGAACAATCTGAACGACTTCGAACATTTTAACTGTTGACGCGGTTATATTAAGCCGTGAAAATGATCGTACTAGAATGACCAGCCCCAAATCATGAATGAATTCTATAGGATTTGAACCACAACTTGTCCATTAGACAGTCTATACTGTAGTCTTTACCACTAGACCACTTGCTCGTTGTTAGAAGCCTGCGGCAACTTATTCACCTTAACTTTTTTTCTCTAAGTTGTTTAGTAAATAAATCAACCCGTTTCCATTCCCAAAATGACATCAGCAGGATTTGAATCACAGCTGGTACATCACTGACACCAAAATGGCAGATTGCATTTATTTTGCACATGGGGGGTTGAGGACATCTATTTACCTGGAATTCAGTTTATATACTCCCTTCCCTGGAAAATAGCTTTAATCGTAGACCATACGGCCTGGATTTTAATATGGTCTCTAATCACCCCTACCCCTGGATTTTCCAAGGCCTTTCTTACACCCTTCCCCTGAAATTTCCATTGTCCTCAACTCCCCCTCCCTGTGCAGAATTTAAATGCAATCTGCAAATCAGGTATGAATAAGTGTTATGACTTATAACTATGTTTCTACTTTACACCAGATAAGTGTATTTTAACATCTTAAATTTGAACCTTATAAACCACAAAGTGGGAGCGAGTATCCGATTGTTGCAACAAAGTCAATTCAAACACTATACTTGCCTTCACATGCACTAAGTTTATGACGTGTAGCTGATGGTTCTACATAGCTCCTATAGATGCAATGTTCTTAAGGGAGTGGTCATTATTTATGTGGAGGGGGGGGGTTGGGAAATGGGAGGGGGGGCAAGCGAAGTTTTACCCTTATAAATAGGGGGGTCAAGAAAGTTTTAACACAGAGAAAGGGGGGAGGGGTAATAAAAGTTTTTGAACTGAAATACCATGTCTAGAGTTCTGATTTCTATAATCACAAATAGCAAAAAAGAAGACTCTGAAAATGCTATTTCCAACGATCTAGAGACTCAAAATTTTCAAAATTTTCCTGCTCGGCGCCAACCATGGTAGCGTCTCACGATAATGGGAGTCGGGCCCACTAAGTGAGTGACCCAGTTGTGGTATTTACATAAACATACCATGCAAGTACACTTTAATAACTGATCAGATTCGGTCTATCAACGCACAATGTAATGCTGTATATCCAAAAATCTGTTTCAGAAAATGCTCACATTTCAGTTCTAGGGGTGGAAAAATACAAAAAATTTTCTGGGGGAGGATACCCCCAGACCCCCCTACTAGTACATACGATACTACACCAAACTTTTTGTCACCAACAACCATCTGTCATCTCTCCACACTCAATATAGTATGGTCCCTTTTTGTAGATGCCCACCCTGACCCCCCAGACAAGTTCTTAAAAAAACCCTGTGTTCAAATAATTTCGCTGTATGAAGACGGGTCATGGGTTAGGGTTAGGGTAGGACAAATGTTGCATTGCAAAGTAGTAACACATAATATATATTTTTTAATCATATATGGTTGAATCATATTCACCAGGGTAAAACATCATGAGCTAGATTAAATAAATTGTCCTAATATTTAACTTTAGCTGCAACGCACACCTGTTTCATTGCTGTTAATTTTTCAATCCACACTGGGAGGGGGGGGGTCAGAAACGTTTTTACTTTTATGAGGGGGGAGGCACAAAAAGTTTGCCTTCAGTCTGGAGGGGGGTCAAAAACGTTTTCAATCCTTATTTTCCCCATTTCCCAACCCCCCCCTCCCCATAAATAATGACCACTCCCTAATTGAATGTTAGAGATGTTCACTATTCATTCCCTTAAGTAGCCATCCAACCTCCTCCCCCTGGTGGTGTGGTTCCTGCATGCATGTATGCTGTACGTAGAAATTGAATGGCTGTAATAAACAATTTATTGTCGAGATTGTACAGTGTTATATATAGTATATATGGTCAGTGTAATTGTGTATAATTGTGCATTTTTCTTAATAAAGTTTATGACTGAACCAATATTGCCTATAACTGTTTTGAGCAATTATTATTGGCTTATAATTTAACTCCTCAATGGTTGACATGATTTGCAATGAAATGTATGAATTATTAATTAATTGGCTATAACAACCTATTAAACTGCAATAACCTGCTAATGAATTCGCATGACCAAAGCAATTAGTTAAAATAACCTATTTATTTTAGTTGTACACAAATGTTCACAATTAATTAACCAAAAAATACTTAATAATAATCTATTTTAGTAAACCAAATCGAATCATTTTGCAAACGGTCCATGGAGTTTCTCCGCTTAATTTTTCATTCCAGATGGAATAATGGGAACAGCGAAGGCACATCCACTTTCAATACCGAGATTGTATTTATCTCCTTCGCCTTGCTTGTACGCACTTGTAACGATTCTCAACCATCCTTTCTCTCCCCAGGGCCTCCCCCAGGAGTTGCGAACAATCCAGTATTCAGTACCATTCTCCACACCCCACCCGGCCACAGATACAACATGGTTGATACCAATATCTTCGTTGTATTCTGAGTATATCCCACCTTGATAGGCATCTAACTTGGGTGTGGCCATGATTCCACAAGCAATAGGACCACGTTGGTGAATTTCTGCTTTCATCTTATCTAGACCGTTAACGCGACCTGGTTTGAAATAACGGGAAAAGGATTTAACATGATATGACTTTGCATAGGGTGAAAAGAATTTCTTTCAAGTTAGATTCAGGTCACTATACGAATTTAGATAACATTGCACAACAAATCTTGGATGTAGAAGAAAGCCAGAGAAATGCTGATTACGTATTTTACGTTAGGTGGGTGTTTACCTAAAACTTTTCTTGTTCTGCTCGACTAAATATATTCCAGATAAACAAGAAAATAAGTTTACAGTTTCCCGTAAACGTTTTTCTAGATAATGCAATTTGAATCTTCATAAGTAAAGTAACAATACTCAATAGCGTGTGCGGTCGCTTTCTCCTTTTTATAATGGTTCTTTTGATAACGCCGTGTTGTTTTTACGGCTGTGCATATAGACTATGATGACGATTCCAATACCAAAAAAACCTATTACCTAATGAACAAATTTTTGATCTAGACAAGTCTAGAAAAAATTTCATCACAGCTTGAAAGAGCATCACAAAATTAGTAATATTACGAAGTTTCGTTGCGAAATGTTGTAAAATTAAATGCGGATAATATAGCCCTGCGAAGTTTGCCGTTTTTTCAGTCATTTTGTATTACGCACGGGAAATTGATACCGCTTTCTGAAAGGTATCAATTTCCCGTGCGCAGTACAAAATGACTGAAAAACGGCAAACTTCGCAGGGCTACATTATAATAATTTTGTGATGCTCTTCAAAGCCGTGATGAAATTTTTGTCTAGACTTGTCTCAACATTCGTTCCCAGGGAAAGCCCTGGGAACGAGGTTGGACTTGTCTAAATCAAAATTTTGTTCATTTATAGGTAATAGCTAGGTCCATTAAAATCAGTATAAAACAATGAATAATCAAAGAAGTGCAGCTACCCACCAACACGAAATAAGTTGGAAGAACTTTGTAACACAACCAACGTTGTGTCAAAATTTGCAGATAGTCGGTTTAAAGCCGGTTCAGTCCACTAGCGAACTGTTTCGCGCGAAGCGACCTTTTCCCTTTGTCGGCATCCATTTTGCCGCGTCTTGCTGACGTATAATAAGTGATACCGACAAAGGAAAAAGGTCGCTTCGCGTGAGAAAATTCCCTAGTGGAAAACAGGCCTAAAGCCGAGTTTCGAAACCGCAAGGCTAATTGGATCCAGGCTAGCGGATCATGCAGGTCGAACCAATTAATTTCGCGTGAGATTTGCATTACAAATCTTCGTAGCAAATCGTTCGATGTGACATCGTCTTCAATAAACGTCAGTGACGTTTTCCACCAAGCTATTATTGCTTACCGTACTCGCTCACTTTAAAATGAGTGTAGTTGGCTATGGAATAACAGTGACCAGAATGAGAGCAAGTCTTGCATTGATGTTCCTTATCGCAGTCCTGATCCTTGGCTTGATAGTTATTACACGTTTCATCTGGAATACCCTCAGTATGTGCGTATGCATACACTGGGATCATACTGCCTCCTTCACATGAACCTGCATTGCCTGGAATAAGTAATCATTAATCATTATACTCTTATCAATAAATCACGCAAATCCTTTGTGGCCACTGATTGGCTGACGGAAAGTGCGGTTTCGTGGACGCAAGGGCCCTAGAAAAGCTGGAGAAACAACATCAGGGTGAAAGCAAGGGACCTTTTTCCTTTTGTGTTGTCTCAAAGGCCGTTGGAACCAGAGTGAACTGAGCATTTGAGATCAAGTTTGGCTGGTCTTTTGCTGATAACTGAAGAATGTCATGTCGACTTAGCAAAATGAGATTATAATGGCATTGCCACTTGACAGATTTTGCCACAAATTTGTTTAAGCCAAACCAAACTTAGCACGCCACAACGGTGGGCTCTGGTAGTTCTCTTGTTTTTTGTATAAATCAGCAAAGCCCTTTTTAAGCGTGGTACTTGGACCTGCATTGGGCGGTCACCCTGTATTAAACGGTTACTATAAAATACGAAATCCCCAATACGAGAGTGACCGCTTAATTAACCAGTGGCCTAACACAGGTTCGAGTGTATAAATGAAAGCAACTGGAGGTCATTATTCTCTCTAGTTGTCCTTGACTGGATGGATGGTATGGACGTCAGACAGACTTTTGTTTTGAACATGACGTTCAAAACAATGAGATGTCTGATCACCGAATTGGATACAGTCAGGGCGCAGTAAGTGTTTGCAAAGGAATTAAAGCAACATACCACAATCAAGGACATTTTGAACGGAAAGATAATTCACTGGCCACACGCCTTTCCTCTGAATGTTAATTCTGTCAGATAAGGCACTGGTGGTTCCCATCGCCCAACATGAACCACAGTATTGTGGGATGTGTTGATTACGTGTTACACTCACGTAGTTCTTGCCATCAACGTTTCTCCAATCCCAAGAAGCTGGAAGGTCTTTGACATTGATGTACTCGTGAGGGCGAGGCGTTTTACTGTTGGAAATATATCTTTCATTATTTACATTATTGTAAAAGGGATTTATGGTGTGTTTGGATGCCAAGTAAAGTGAGCGCTATCAGTAAGATGTTTTGTCATTCAAAAATAATAATAGTTGATCAGTTTTATTCAATCGAGTGAAAATGTGAGATGCTAACAAAATCTTGATATTTATCCATACCTGAACATGGCAGTACCCTAGTGTATATACACGAACTTGTGTTTAGATCGAAGCTTGGCGCGTGCTCCCAGGGGCGTAGGAAGCATCAAAAAGTGGGGGGGGGGGCAGTTTCGAGGGGCACTTTTCGAAAGAAAAGGGCACCTAAAAAATTTTTCCCGGAAATGTTAGCGACGGGGGGGAGGTCAACTCAAAAAAATTTCCACCAGACATACCATTATCTTCGCAAACATACAAAAAATTTTCTGTACATATCATAATTTTTCCGAAAATAACAAAATTTTTCCGGACATTGCATTATTTTCTTCCGAATATAACAAAATTTTTCCGGACATACCATGATTTTTTCCGAAAATAACAAAATTTTTCCGGACATGGCATTATTTTTTTTTGAATATAACAAAAATTTTTCCGCACATACCAAAATACTAAAATAAATGCAATCATGAATCAAAGGCTATTGAGGCAAACGGCGATCTCAACGACATTTTTAACG